CTGTAAATGGAGTATAACCTTTAAAAGTTGGGAATTACTGTATTATATGCCTATAACATAATATTATACATGAACTATATTTCAATTTTTAAAATATGATATTGTAAAATAAATACATAAATACATAAATAAAATTTTTTAAATACATGTGGAATCTAAAATAAAAAGTCAAACTCAGAAACAGAGTAGAAAAGTGGTTTCCAGAGGCTGGAGGATGCAGGAAACAGGGAGAGGTTGGTAAAAAGATACAAACATTCAGCTGTAAGATGAATAAGGTCTGAGGATTTAATACATAGCACGGTGACTATAGTTGACAACACCGTATTGCATAATTGAAATTTGCTATGAGAGTATAACTTAAATGCTCTCACAAAAAAAAAAAAAAAAGGATAAATACGTGAGTTTGCCAAGTGATAGATGTGTCCATTAATTAGATAGGGGAATCTTTTCACAATGTATATGTATATTAAGTCACCACCATGTGCATGTTAATTATCTTACAATTTTCTTTGTCCATCATACCTCAATAAAGCTGAAATGAAAAATTAAATTTAAAATAGAAATTTTTAAAATGGTGCTAAGGACTGAATTGTGTCCATCAAAAATTCATCGGTTGAAGACCAAATCACTAATGTGATAGTATTTTGAGATGGAGCCTTTGGGAAGTAATTGGGGTTAGAGGAGATTATGAAGGTAGGGTACTTGTAATGGGATTAACAGATTCTCTCTCTCTCTCTCTCCCTCTCTCTCTCACTCTCTCTCTCTCTCTCCATCATGTCAGGACACAGCAAGAAGTCAGCCTCTACAGGCCAGGAAGATGTCCTCACCAGGGAACCAATTCCACCAGCACCTTGACCTTGGGCTTCTAGCCTCCAGAACTATGAGAAATAAATCCCTGTTGTTTAAGCCACCCAGTCTGTGATGTTTTGTTATGGCAGACCAGACTGACTAATGCAAATGAGCACATCTACATACACTGATATTGAAAGAGCTCTGAAATGTACCATTAACTTCAAAAAAAATAGTTGAAAAACAGTATGTGTAATATAATAGCATAGATATAAAGAAAAAGTGTTTATCAAATCTGTGTCTTCTCAGCTGTTTCCACTAACCCTCCATAACTCAGATAATGGCCTCTTTGCATTTAATAGAGTAAGTTCTCTGCTGCTACAATGATCATCAAGGGAAGAAAAAAGCCAATTAGTTTCCTGTTCTGTGAGTTGGATGATCAGTCAGTCCTCCACTTTCTAGAGGCCACCCTCAGGCATTATGGCAACCTCTGGCAACTAATTATGCCCTCAGGTGCTGAGGCAAAGAGTTAGGAAAAGTTTGCAAAGGAGCAAATTAGTGTCACCCCTTGGGGACTCTTCAGAGATGACTAAGAATTTCTTTTACCTCCTTGAGATCCCTGGGAGTTTCACGTAAGTAATTAAAGGCATGATTGCAGACTACAAGAATACATCTCTACTAGATGTTCAAACTGCTAATGAGCCAGAGCTCACATACTCCTGTAACCATACGGTGGACCAAAACCAAGACACAGCATCTCCCAGCATCCCTGTTAGGTCCACCAAACCATACGTTTAGAAGCAGCTGGGTCACCATGCCAATGCAGGAAAACAGAAGCCATTTCTTTCACATCTCCTTCCCCAGATGGTGGCTCTGGCAGGGAGGAGGATACCACCTTTATGGACTCCCTGCTAGGAGCTGGGCACTG